CCCCATGGGACCCTGTGGCCAGATTAGTTCACAGCACTGCTGTTGTGCCCGGGACTGTGCTATTGGAAGTGCTGGCTCCTTCCCACTTCCCCCCCCCTTTTGTGTGTCCTTTACGTCACACAGTCCAGCTGCTCCTCGGTCCTGCACCTGAGGGTCTGCACCCGGGATGACCCTGGAGGCCCAGGGAGCACGTGCCCTTGGTTGTGTCCAGGAGTCCCGTGAAGGCCCAGCGCTCTGTGTGCACAGCCCTCCCTTGCCAGTGTAGCTGGCCTGGCTTGTGAGGACAGTCCAGGCCTGTCATAGTTCTTGATGGGCCTTAGCCTGGCGACTGTGACTCTTCCCCACCTAACTGCCCTGGAGGACAGAGAAGTTCCTGCTCATCTCTGGGGGGAAGTTACTGAATTTGATGATGCTTCTGTTATGGTACATGCTTTGCTTATAAAGGGACAAACCATTAAGGTACTGACTGCACCTCAGCTTGGTCCAACCCTTGGTACCTCCTGTGAGATGGAGTATTTATGAAATATGTGAGGCACACTTGGCTTACTGCCGAGCCATAGAACATTCAAGAAAACAGCCGTTTTCCATAAATGTGCACTTCAGCCCGCAGTCCAGCTAGAGGACCTGGCCCACTGCCTCTGCCGTCATCATTGTCTCTCTAGATTGGTTTTGGACTTCATGTGTTTAGTGCATCTCAAGGTGAGCTTCTCCTTCCGCTCTCCTCTTGTGATGGCTGAGCTGTGACCCAGGGCACAGTACTGGCTACCTGCCCACCTGTCCTTCCTGTTCGTGGCACACTTTCTACAGGCCTCTGGTTTCTTCATAGTTCCCTGTGTTCTCCTTGCCCTGTTTAAATGGAGAGGAAATGTTTGTCGTTTATGAACAAACAGTATAAGAGACAGACTCTGTAAGACCGCTCCCTTAGTTATTCAGATTTATAAAATGAAATGTTCATTGTAATCAACCTGCTTTTTTATAGTATTTTTTTTAAGGTTTTTTTTTTTTTTAATTTACTTATTTGATAGAGAGACAGCAAGAGCAGGAACACAAGCAAGAGTGGCAGAGGGAGAAGCAGGCTTCCCGCTGAGCAGGGAGCCTGATGCGGGGCTCGATCCCAGGACCCTGGGATCATGACCTGCGCTGAAGGCAGACACTCAATGACTGAGCCACCCAGGTGCCCCATGCCTTTTTATAGTATTGATAGACTTCTTATCACCTGTGTATATCCTTCCTTACAGACTCAGGTTCTTTCTGTTTTGGCTTATTCTGATTAGCTGTACTTACTGATGTCTTTTTAGGGTTTACAGGGTCACAGCTTGGTTAGTAACAGCCCCTCCAGGCCAGCTTCCCCACCCTTTCCTCCTACCACAGACACTTGTGGAGGCCTCCTCCTTTTCAGACATGGTGTTAACTGCTCTCCTGTGTTGTTTTTGTTTGCGTTTTTTTTTTTTTTTTCCCTGACTTCTTTTAATGGGGAGTACTAGTAGAAGCAATCTGGATGCTCCGGGTTCATTTTGTGGTGTTCTCCCAACAATCTGGTGGTGGGTTGGCTCATGATGTCACTGATAGAACACTTCAGAGTCAGAGCTGGGAAAGGCAATTTTCTTTGTGGTTGTGGGTGAACTTGTATGTATTTCTGATTTAACTTGGAGACTGTCTAATCCTTTTTTCCCCAAGGTTTTATTTATTTGAGAGGGAGAATGAGAGAGAGAGATAGAGAGCTCGAGCAGGGCAGAGGGGCAGAGGGAGAGGGAGAAGCAGACTCCCTGCCGAGCAGGGAGCATGATGTGGGGCTCGATGCCAGGACCCTGGGATCATGACCCGAGCCGAAGGCAGGCGCTTAACGACTGAGCCACCCAGGTGCCCTTGTCTAATCCTTTCTTAATGCCCACCTAAATTTTTACTATTTCTTCTCCTGTCTCTGTAGTATTTCTTTGTGTCTCATTGGCAACTGTTCTGTCATTGCTTTCTTCACAAATTACCAAATTGCTTTTCAGAAGACATGGTAACAGCATCACGGGTTTATTGGTGCAAGCCGCAGTTAGAGAGGGTGCTCTCTTTTATCCTGGCCTTACCAGCATTTGGTGTTCCTGTGTGTTGTGAACATATTTAATCGTCGTTACTGTCTCTGTCCTCTAGCCTCTCCCGTAATTACAAATGTCCAGTGCCATTGTCTTTGGATACCTTGCACATTTTCGTTTCTTGGTTCTTTGAGTTTTTTTGGTGCCTACCCTTTGTCCATTTCTTCACCTAAAGTCTTGATGGTGTATAAATTTGAATGAGTTTTTTTTTTTTTTAAAGATTTTATTTATTTGAGAGAGAGAGAGAATGAGAGATAGAGAGCACGAGAGGGAAGAGGGTCAGAGGGAGAAGCAGACTCCCTGCTGAGCAGGAAGCCCGATGTGGGACTCGATCCCGGGACTCCAGGATCATGACCTGAGCCGAAGGCAGTCGCTTAACCAACTGAGCCACCCAGGCGCCCCTGAATGAGTTTTTGTATATAAATGAATGCAGTCGTGTGGTTTGACTGTTGTTAGCAGCTTATTGAGACATAATTTCTATACTGTACAGTTCACCTGTTTAAATAATTCAGTGGGTTTTAGTGTAGTCACAAGGTTATACAGCCATCATCACAATCTAGTTCCAGATCATTTTTAACACCCTAAAAAGAAACCCAAGACCCATTAGCAGACCCCTCACCCACCAGCCCCTGATGATCTTTCATCTGCTTTCTGTCTGTGGATCTGCCTCTTCTGGATATTTGATGGAAATGGAATCCCACAATATGTGGCCTTTTGTGTCTGGCCCTTTTGACTGAGCATAATGTTTTCCATGTTGATTTATGTTGTAGTGTGTCTCAGTACTTCCTTTTTATGGCTGAATAATACTCAGTTTTTTGGCTAGACTATGTTTTGTTTATCCATTTATCCATTGGTGGACATCTGGGTTGTTTTCACCTTTGGGTTGTTAGGTGTCATGCTGCTGTGAACGTTCTTGTACAGGTTTCATGTGGACATAGGTTTCGATTTCTCCTGGATATACACCTAGGAGTGGAATTGCTTGCTTATATGGTGCCTGTTCCTTTTGAGAAACTACCTGACTGTCTGCCAAAATGGCTGCACTATTTTACATTCCCAGAGCAGTGGGTGAGGGTCCCGACTGCTCCATAGCCTCACCAACACTTGTTACTGTCTGTCTTTTTGATTCTAGCCACCCTTGTGGGTGTGAGGAGGAGGAACCTTCTCGTGGCTTTGATGTGCATTTCCTTAATGACTAATGATGTTGAGCATCTCATCATGTGCTCATTGGCCATTTGTATGTCTTTCTGGAGAAATGTTTATTCAGATCCCTTGCCTGGTTTTTAAGTGTGTGTGTGTGTGTGTGTGTGTGTGTGTGTGTGTGTGTTTTAATTGAGTTGTAAGAGCTCTTTATGTCTTCTGCATACAAGTCCCTTAGCAGATAACATGATTTACGCATACTTTCTGCCATTCCAGGTGTTGTGTTTTCACTTTCTTGATGGTGCTTTTGAAGCGCAGAAGTTTTTAATTTTGGTATAGTCCCTTTGATCTGTGTTTTTTGTTTTTTTTTTTCCTTTTGTTGTTTGTGCTTTTGGTCTCATATCTAAGAAGCCATTGTCAAGGTCAGGAGGATTTACTCATAGATTTTCTTCTAAGAGTTTTACAGTTTTAGTTCTTACATGTAGATCTTTGGTACATTTGAGCTAGGTTTTGTATATGATACAGGAAAGGCATTCGACTTGATTCTTTTTGTGTGTGGCTATGCATTTGTTGAAAAAAATGTCCCTACTCACTGAAGGGTCATGGTGCCCTTCTCAAGTATGAGTAGACTGTAGACATCTAGGCCTGTACTTCTAAGCTCTGTTCTGCTCCTCTCTGCGTCTGTCCTGTGCCAAGACCACCCTGTCTTGGTTAGTGTAGCTTTGTAGTAAGCTTTGAAATCAGGTCGTGTGATAAGGTAGTTGTTCAGCTTTGTTCTTTTCTGAGATTATTTGGCTTTTCTGTGTCCCATGTGAATTTTAGGATCAGCTCGTCAGTTTCTGCAAAGAAGCCAGCTGGGATGTTAGTAGGGATTCCATTGAATAATTTTTAAAATTTGTTAAATTTTGAATTTGTTTAAGTTATTTAAAAACCTAACACTCTATCTGGCTTGGAGGTAACTTTGGTTGAAGTGAGCACCTGGGCTCTCGATCAGGTAGTTTCCCAGTTGTTAACTAGTTAGCCCACTGCTGTCTTTTTTGAGAAACTTATTTATTTTTATCAACTGTTAACTTTTTCTTTTTGAAGTAGGCTCCACACCCAGTGGGGAGCTCAACGCCAGGCTTGAACTCATGACCCCGAGATCATGACCTGAGCTGAGCTCAAGAGTCCGGCGCTCAGCTGAGGGAACCACCCAGGCGCCCTCAGCTGTAACTTTTATGTGTAGCTGACAGTTCCTGGAGTCTTCTTTCCATGAAGTTCTACTTCATGCCCTAGGACTGCTAGGTTAAAATTCTATTTAGTTGTGGGATGCAGTCTTAAGCCAGTCTGTGTTCGAGCCCTAACTGAGTACCTTCTGTGTGTCCAGCTTTGTATGAGGTGTGGGTAGGTGATCAGGCAAGGAGTTCTGGATGCGGACACTGTGGTCAAGGAGTTTGGACTGGCTTCCTCTGTGGGCTGGTGTTGGCTGCAGGTGGCATTGAGGTTGGGCAGTGATGGGAAAGCCAACTGGCTGTGGCAGGGGTGGTTGGAGATTCACTCAGTGCTGACGGAGGAGAGTGAGGGCAGATAGGAACTGGATGGTGGGGTTTCTGGGCACATGGGACGAGGGATTGGGGGCTGGGATTTGAGCAGGGAAGGGACTTAGGAGAGGAGAACAGTGGCCTGAACCCTGTGGCAGAATGTCATATGGCTTGCCCTGTACTTGGTGTTAACACTTTAGTTCATACATTTAGGAAAAGTGAGCCACTTTGAGTCTTAACCTCTTTTTCCTGTGTCCACCAGTATGACACTGTTCCAATTCAGTCCAGCGTGGTGTTATGTGCTTGCCCGTCCCCATCAATGGTGAGGACCCAGACTGAGTCCGGCATAGCCCCTGGCATTCCCACCGGTGGTAGCAGACAGGGCCCCACCATGGACAGCACTGCGGCCGAGTCCCGACCGAGCACCAACTCGCTGCAGCACACCACACAGCCGCCACCACAGCCTCGGAAGAAACGGCCTGAAGACTTCAAGTTTGGGAAAATTCTTGGTGAAGGCTCTTTTTCTACAGTGAGTACCTGCCGCTGCTCTTTCTTGAACGAGTGTATTTTCCTTGGGAAGGCTGACTTTTCTCAGGGCTTGTAGCTAGGGGACCCCGTTACCAGGGCAGTGTTCTTCCCCAGGCGAGGGTCTCAGGCCCCTCCAGGGTCCTACTCTGGTTTCCAGGGTGATTTGGGGCCTCCTACCACCAAGTAAATCACGTGGTTAAAATACCTAAGCCATGACTTTGTAGATGAAAGCTTTAAAAAGCATCTATCTGTTGATCTTTCTATTTGGTTTGGTTTGGTTTTTGATGCAGTTAATTTTTATTCTAATCAGTCATCAACATATTCCATCTTGTGTCCTTGTGTCCCATTAGCAAGGTCTTAGGAAGCTTTTCTGTCCCTTTGTTTGGAAATGTCAGTATCAATGTCTCTTCAGAGCTTTTGGGAAACATTTAACAACCTTTACTATTTCTTTGTTATTTAAAACAATGTATAAAACAGCACAGCCTTGATCCGGGTCTGCTGGGGGTGCAGCCCCAAACCTGCCGGCCTCCGGGCTCTCGTGGCCTCGGTTTCAGTCAGTACCTCTGTTTGCTACCTGAGTGAGTTGTGCCTGTCTTGTGGCATTTTTCCTTTTCCAGCAAAGAAATGAAGGTTAAGAGCAGCCCCTTTGCTGAGGTGGGAGCCCCCCGTGGCTGTGATGGGGCCGGGGGCTTGCGCAGGCTGCGGGGAGACCCAAGCACCAGTGCGCCCTGCGAATGGCCAGAGCCTTCTTGCCTGGCCTCTGGGAAGAAACCTTATGTGAAACGTGTTTCCCTTTTCTCTTTTTACATTCATGAAATGTTGCAAAATAAAAAGAAGAACATGAAGTTTTATAGTTCACCCGTGTTCTCAACTTAGTTTTAATCAATGTTAACTTTTTGCTCCCCTTATATATATATATATTTTAAAGTTTTTATTTATTTATTTGAGAGAGAGGGAGCATGAGTGTGTGTGCACAAACGGGGAAGGGCAGAGAGAGAGGGAGAAGCAGACTCCCCGCTGAGCAGGGAGCCCAATGCAGGGCGCCATCCCAGGACCCCCCAGGTCATGACCTGAGCCAAAGGCAGATGCTTCACCAACTGAGCTACCCAGGCGCCTCCCCTTACATTTTTAATTTAGATTTTTTATTGGCAGTTTCTGTTTAAATTATGAAAGACTTGTGCTCTTGTGATAAAAATCTTCAACTATGGGGGCGCCTGGGTGGCTCAGTTGGTTAAGTGACTGCCTTCGGCTCAGGTCATGATCCTGGAGTCCCGGGATCGAGTCCCACATCGGGCTCCCTGCTGAGCAGGGAGTCTGCTTCTCCCTCTGGCCCTCTTCCCTCTTGTGCTTTCTATCTCTCATTCTCTCTCTCTCAAATAAATAAATAAAATCTTTAAAAAAAAAAAAAAATCTTCAACTATGAGGATAGTACCCAGTAGTTCTGGTCCTCACAGATCTTCTCAGAAAGAAGAAACTAGGGGTGCCTGGGTGGCTCAGTAGTTAAGCGTCTGCCTTCGGCTCAGATCATGATTCCAGGGTCCTGGGATCGAGCCCCGCATCGGGCTCCCTGCTCCGCGGTAAGCCTGCTTCTCCCTGTCCTGCTCCCCCTGCTTGTGTTCCCTCTCTCACTGTGTCTCTCTCTGTCTAAATAAATAAATAAACAAAAATAAACAAAAAAAGAGAAAGAAGAAACTATTTTGAAAAGAACCTGGGTGTTCTGCACATTTACTTAAAATAGTCCGGTAAGAGAAGCAGTTTTCTCTCCCTCTCTGTTTTACCTCATGGACATTTATCCCAACTAGTGAATGAGGGCTTATTTGTGAAACTCCCCCTTGTCCGTGGGTCTGCACAGCGGGTGAAAGTAGGCACCACCCATTCTGGATGATGCCCTCCTGTTGTTGAAAAGCCCCGGCTGTAGTTCTTGTCATCCCTGTGCCTTTTGAGCCCAGGTGCCAGGGAAAAGCACCATGAGTTGGAGGTTCCTTCCTGGCGCAGTGTGGCATCCTGCAGCTCTGGGTCTCAGGTTATATATGCTACCCTCAGGTCTTTCTCATCACTCCTGAAATAGAGACCACTTAAAATTAGATTTCCAGGGGAGGGTGGAGGACAAGCGGCCGTTCCCAGGCTGGGCAGGATCTGCACTTGGCCGGGCCTGGCCCTGGAGAGTGGGGAGGCCCGGCCTGCTGCTGCCTGGCCTCCTGGGGATGATTTTGACATCCAGATTGGCTCTGCTTTCGGCCCCGGTGACGTGGAGGGATACGTCATGCCTTGTTCCCTGGAAGAGGGATACTCCCTGCCCCGTGCCCATAGGGAAACCTGCACGTGAAATGTTGAATTCATACAACGGAAAGATTTCCTAAGTACCTCCTTCAGAAAGGATCCCATTAATTATTAGTACTTTCTAATAGTTTTTTTTCTTGCCCTTTCCTACTAGGTAGGTAGTACGTGCTCCTGTGAAGAAATTTAATATTTCATAAACAACCTACGGAGGGGTGTCTTTCCCCAGCCCCTCCCCATCACTTCCTAGTGCTTGAGAACAGTCCACATAGGTGTATTCCTCCAGAAAGATCTCTGAGATCTTTCCACTTGAGCACATATAATCCAACCCCATTTTTCTTAATCACTGCAGGGTGTTTCACATGGTGCTTTCCCAAGATCACTTCTGGTGAATCTCCTGGAGAATTCTGTAGTGGGATGATCATGACCTGTGGCCTCCAAAGGTCTTCCCTGGAGGCCCAGGGATCCCCCAGGATTTGGTCAGGTTTCCATCTGCACCCTGGTCCTCGGGCCATCCTTCCTGCACGTGTCTTAGGAGGGGCATCATCTGCCTCAGCTGGCCGTGGTAGGTGGGGGCTGCCTCAGCTCCCCAGCCAACTGGCCTCATCCGGCATGTGGAAGTTGGTGCTCAGTTGTGCCCAGGGGTTGCTCATGTAGGAATCTCTTTTCCATGTTGTGCTGTGCCCTGTTGGCTCTCTGTCCCCACAGTGGAGTGTGAGTACAAGCCTTAGGTGTGCTACTGAGAAAGTCCACCAAGAGTGGGGCTGCACCCTGGGCAGGAGGTGCGGCTGGTGGGAGGCGCTCTCTGTGAGCCCCATGGCCTTCTTGCGCCCTTGACGGCAGGGACAGTGTTTAGTGTACCTGAGTGCAGCATCAACTGAAATGTGTGATCACAGTTATTTGAAAAAGGCCAAATTCAGGGTGGCTTTACAATGAACATATACTGAGAACATATTCTAAAAGTTATTTTTTGAAGGAATTCCCAGGACCCACCTGAGCTATTATTTGTTGTTTCTTTGTACTGTTTGTGAGGGTTACATTAGTACAAGATGTTCCTGAATCTATAATTCACTGCACCATGGGAACTTAGCAGCTGATGGAGAACCTTCTGAAGGCAGTTGATTGATCTATGCATTTCCTTTTTATTAGAACACATTAACTTCATCATTAACATCCAGCCAAATTTGTTAGCACAGGACGAGTATATTTGAATGTAATTTCAAATATTTAAATGTAATTTCATGGTGGGGGCAGGTTAGCCTGTGTGGTCAGCTGCAAGGTGACTTGTGAGAGTCGATGCCCGGGTTATACTGTTTTTTTCTCTTGCCCCCTTTTCTTCCCAAACCAGGTTGTCCTGGCCCGAGAACTGGCAACCTCAAGGGAATATGCTAGTAAGTACTAAGTCCAGGGGGCTGTGTGTCTGGGATGCAGGGTAGGTCATGTGTTAACATGTGGCTGCCAGGCTGCCTAGCACCTGGAGGTTCTACGCTGATTTCAGGGGTGGGACGCTGGTGGTCTTAGAGACCACAGAGCTGGTGGGTAGGTTTTGTGGAAAACTTTAATTTGTATCAGTTACCTTTATGAGTTTTGTTTTTAGTTTGTTTTTTTTTTGTTTGTTTTTGTTTTGTTTTTACCATTATCAATCATAGTAACTTGCTTTTCTCTTACTTTAAGTTAAAATTCTAGAGAAACGTCACATTATCAAAGAGAACAAAGTCCCGTATGTAACCAGAGAGAGAGACGTGATGTCACGCCTGGATCACCCGTTCTTTGTTAAACTTTACTTCACATTTCAGGATGATGAAAAGTTGTGTATCCTTTGAACAGTCAGAGCCTTCTGAAATCACACCGGTGACCCCGTACTGTTGAATCATGACCCCATTGTGTATTTTCACAAGTCATTCCTTCCCTGGAAAGGACAAGGGTGGCATATTCTTTTTTTTTAAGATTTTATTTATTTATTTGACAGACAGACACCGAGAGAGGGAACACAAGCAGGGGGAGTGGGAGAGGGAGAAGCAGGCCTCCCGTGGAGTAGGGAGCCTGATGAGGGGCTCGATCCCAGGACCCCGGGATCATGACCTGAGCTGAAGGCAGACACCCAACGACTGAGCCACCCAGGCGCCCCAAGGGTGGCATATTCTAAATACAAATGAATTCACATCACTTTGCTTTGGGAGCCCCTGGGATTGCTGATGTTCACTGAAGTAGAATGGTACTTCAAAAGAAATCATCACAAACCTTTTTGAGGTTTTTTGTTCATAAGCATTGTATCTAAAGGATTATTATTATTTTAACTCCATGGTTGCTGGACATTTACTCAAAGGCATTCCCTTATTCTTCTAACTGGTAGCCTTGGAGTATCCATCAGGTGTCAAGTCCTCTGCTTAAAGCAGGGAAGTGAGGGAGGAAGAAGGATCTTGGGCATCCAGGGCCCCTCTCTGCCCTCTTTGGCCCAGGGGTATGGGGTTTGGTTGGAAGGGACATCTTTACCAGGGTAAGCCCCCAAGTGAGAAGTCCAGGGAGCCACCCACAGGAGCCCAAACTCTTTCCCACAGTACCCAGAACACTGTCCTCCCCAGGCCCTCCAGCCTCCCTCCCTTCTTCCTCCCCTCCACCCTCCCCGTGACCCCCGCCCCAGTCTGCTCTCTGCCTGTGGATAGCTCTGATCACCCAGTGCCTCTGGCTCTCTAGCAAGGCTGTCACACCCCACTGATTGCTTCTTCTGCTCCCTGATTTCTCCACTAACTCCTGGAGCAATGTTTTTTCCCTTCTTTTACCTTGCTTAAGGAGCAGGGCAGGCAGGGCATCACGGTTGCCAGGGTAGGCCACACTGTGTTGTCTAGCTTGTCCCAGGGCTTTCCCATCACGTGGCCTGGCTGTCCAGTTTCTCCTCACTCCACAGCCCTTTCCTGTAGTTTTTACCAACCAGGACCTCCCCAGCCCCTCTGTGCCCCAGCGACTCAGTCCCCAGTCCCAGCAGATGCTCTTCTGGTTTCTGCTCCACTGAGAGAGGTCAGCTGTCAAATGGAGTTGCCTCGGGGCTTGTTCAGGCCTCAGTCTTGGCCTTAGTTCTTTCCCTTCAGCCATCCCGTGTCCTCAGCTTGTGCCCCCGCAAAGCTGGTCCCCCTAAGGGCTTGGCCTCCCCCCCACCCCCTCTCCCTCAAGCTTTCCCCTACCTCTCTCTACACAGATTCTTCTGGTTTAGAACTTAGCTCCATCATGCTCCCCCTTCAGCACCATTTTCTGGCCTTGTCAACTGTCAGCCAAATGTGTTCTTTTGCTTATTGAGAAGTTCTTGTTGAGTGCCAGCCAGGTCATGGGGATATGCTGGTGAAAAGGTGACCAAGGCTCAGCTCTCACGGGGTCTGCATTCCGTGGAGGAGTTAGACGCATGCAGACCATCGGTGCCCGTGGAGTAGACATGAGGGAGGGAGCAGGGGCAGTGAGGGAGGTAAGAGGGTGAGGGGAGGTGCTGCTCCTGTAGCTCGGTGGTCTGCAGGGACATGGACTTGGGCCAGAGACCTGGGTGGAGCGAGGGCTGGAGTGCTTCTGTGCTGGTGGAGTGAAAAGGCTGGGCAGGGGCCAGCTTCTCCTCCCCTGGAGCCTGGCAGGAATTACGGATTTTCTTCTGAGTGTGCAGGGAGCCCCAAGGGGCTGGAGCAGAGCAGCCGTATTCTGTCATCATGGCTGGTGCTGCAGTGAAGGCTCTTGCAAGTGAGCCAGGCAAGGGGCAGTGCAGTCAAGGTGGCTCCTGGGTGTGGGGCTTTAGGGTCAGGGTGCACAGGGGTGCTTTGACTGAGTCGGGAGAGACCAGGCTGGAGGTGTGTGTGGCGTTGGCGTCTGAGGCATCTGTGGGCACCTGCTGCTGCTGGTTGCCTGCTGGCAGAGCTCGGTGAGGAGCCAGGGCGGCGTGCAAACTGAGGGCTGGCTGGCTGGCCGCTGGAGGGCCCTTGGCAGGGAAGAGTTCCGAGGCCTGAGCCCGAGTCACCCCCGCACAGACTGGCACGCAGGAGGCAGGGTGTTGCCGGTGAGCGGAGGACAGACCTCGGGGGCCGCGGGGCCAGCTGGTTTCCAGCAGGGGGTTGCTTGGCGGCGAGGTCAGGTGCTGCGGACTACTGGCCGAGTACCTAGGGCCTGGGTCTGCCCTGTGGAATGGTCCCTGTACACATTGTTCTGGGGTGGGGAGGGGATTTCAGGAGATGGCGGTGAGGGGGTCCGGGCAGCACACACAGTGGGTTCTGCCCAGTGGTCCCGCCTTCAGTGGGGAGCAGTAAAGTGGTCTCATCCCTAGAGGCATGTAGGGCAGAGAGGGGGCTCCTTGTTGGTTTGTTTAGGGGTTAGAGAATGTATGCTTCTGCCTGGCTCCTGCATCACCCCTGTCCCTGCGACTCTGCTGTCACTGCTTATGGCCCCGAGGACAGTGAAGTGTCTTCTTCATGGCTGCTCGGTGTCTCTCTCACCTTTGAGGCCACCTTGACTGGCTGCTCATCATTGTGTGTCCCTTCTTGTGGCTTGGGGACAGGAGTAGTGCTCTAAGCCTTAGGAGGCTGTGCTCCAGTTCTGTCCCTCCTTGGCTTTGTGACCTTGAGTCAGTTGCTTAACCTCTCTGGGCTAGGTTCTTTTGCCAAGCATAGGCATTGAGCTTACTGGGCTCTTATCACAGGCTTGGTCTTTGCTCATCCTTCCAGGAATTCACCCATGTCATGGGAGAGAACGGCTTCCTCCTTGCTGCCCTGGGCCACTGGCTGTGCCAAGAGAGGGAGAAACATTCTAGGATGTCAAGGACCCAGGAGATGTGAGAGAGTACTTCTGGGGATGAGGAAGGTGTGTGGTTGGAGACAACATGGGCTTGGATCCTGGACCCTCAAGAGTTGTCATGTTCAGAACCTTTGGTCACCTTAGCTTCACAGCTGAGCGGAGAACTAGAAGTGTCCCTCACCCAGGAAACAGGAACTCAAGGAGTGGTCAGATACGGGGCAAACCCCGTGAAGCTCAGGGAGGCGCTGTGCCTGTGCCGAGGCCAAGCCTCTAAGGTCTACTGCAGGCTCCTAAGCTCTCCTCAGTGCTAAGGTTCATGGCTAGTCCAGGTAGGGCTGCTGGCCCAGCCAGCGCCAAGCTACTGCTTCGGGGTGAGGCCAGAATCTGCAGGCCACTGGGGAGGAGGCCATGGACACCAGCCTTCCCTGCAGAGAAGACAGAGCAGGGCAAGCTGTGAAGGGGTCTGGCTGGGACCCTTTTCCTTCCCTGTGAGTAAGGTGTGTTTTTTTTGCTCCAGGTTCCTGTTGTCCTAGTTGGAAGGGCTTGGGTGGCCACAGGTGGGGCTAAATCATGGACAGGTTTGGACAGCTTTGGTCGCTGGTCCCTTCCATCCTGGGCTTGTCCTCACTGGCCTGCAGCATCAGACTCTGTCCTCGGTGGGAGACCGCAGTGCCCTGGCGAACAGAAGCCAGATGGAAGACCTTGAGCGCCAGCCACCCCTTCCTGCCCTCAGAGCCACTACCTAGGGCAGTGAGGACTCCTGTTACTGTGTCCCTTGGCTGCTAGGGAGCCGTGAAGTACCTGTAGGTTTCCATTTATAGGTGCAGATGTTTGGTGTTTCCAAGAGGAAGCTGTTATATGGGATCTGTTATTGTTTCAGTCTGTAATCCTTTTGGGAAGGGAGAATGGAAGCAAATCACAGCACAGTGGTGTCTGAGGGAAAGATACCTGTGTTTCTTGCGTCTCTCCCCAGCGGGTGGCCAATTAATAGATATACTCAAAAAGATAATAAAATGGGGGCGCCTGGGTGGCTGAGTTGGTTAAGCGACGGCCTTCGGCTCAGGTCATGATCCTGGAGTCCCGGGATCGAGTCCCACATCGGGCTTCCTGCTCAGCAGGGAGTCTGCTTCTCCCTCTGACCCTCTTCCCTCTTGTGCTTTCTATCTCTTATTCTCTCTCTCTCAAATAAATAAATAAAATCTTAAAAAAAAAAAGAAGATAATAAAATGGTATTTGTCTTATAAGACTTGTTACTTTATACTTGGACAGGAGCATGCATTTGAGAAACCTTTTATATGAATTGACTCTTAGCACACCATGGAATGCAGTTGGTGCTCAGTAAATGCTGTCTGTCCACTGTGGTGCAGGTTTGGAGGCTGAATTAGGATGGAGGGCCCCCTTCCCCTTGCTGAAGCCTGCTAAGAGGCATGTATGCCACGGGCTCTGGCCACTCTCTCTAGTGGCTTCCCTCCCTTGAGCCCGTGGGTGCCTTTGGGGATGGTGGGGTCCAGAAGGAGCAGTCAGGCCAAGGGGTGTGTGTCATTGTGTTCTTGGGGAGGAATCCATCCTGGGGCCCGGGCCTGGGGCTGGGGCTGGGGCTTGGGCGTGGGGCTAGGGCCAGGGAGTCCTATCAGCCCCGGCAGCTGTGGGTTTGATCACAGCAGGGTCTGACCTGAAGAGGGACCACTGTCTCAGGCCATGGGTACCTTTGGTTTTCATGAATTAGAAGTATTCCTATCGGGCTGTAAGTTTAGCTTTAAAAAAATGACTTTTTTTCTCTTCCTTAACAATGCGATATTTAGACTTTGGTCTTAGTTATGCCAAAAATGGAGAACTCCTTAAATACATTCGCAAAATTGGCTCATTCGATGAGACGTGCACCCGGTTTTACACGGCCGAGATGGTGTCAGCTCTGGAGTACTTGCATGGCAAGGGCATCATTCACAGGTACCACACCAGCTGCCTGTGGGCTTTGCTTCCCGGGCCTCGGGGTCAGCTCTGTGGGCTTTTCTGGAGGGTTGGGAGGCCTCCTTGTGAGAACTAAGGAGAAGTTGATGTCACCTGATGTTGAGACTCACAGGCCTCCCAGTACCAGGTGAAGTTGGCAGCCAGTGGCGCTCTGGGCCGTCCCCACTCGTGCTTTTAGTCCCCGCCTTGTAGCTCGCGGGCGCGCTTCTTTCTGATCTCCTTTTCCGTGACTCTCCGATATTGTCACATCCAAAGTTCGTATGAGCTCTTTTGTTGTTGTTGCTGTTACGGATGGTTTTCTATTGTGGTGAAATACAACAAAATTTAACATTTTAACCTTTTTTTCTGGTTTTATTAAGAAACAACATTGATCACTGTATATGTCAAAGGTGTACAACATGATGGTTGATTTATATATTTTGTGAAATGATTACCTGACTACAGTAAGTTTCAAAGATCTTTATGGGTTAAAAATGATGGATTACACTTTAAAGTGTATTGAGAACGACAGATGCGTTTATGAAGGAATGTAGTTTGAATCTGCTCATTAGATGCAGTTGGATATTTGTTCAGTGTGAACTTTCTAGACTTACATTCTTGGTTGTTTGTCCATAAAGATTATAAGTATTTAATCAGTTCATTTGTTTTCTGCAAAACTTAAGAGTGTGTAATAACATTGCTATTTAAATATTTCATCTCAAATGTACAAAATCTGCTTTCACAGGGACCTGAAACCGGAAAACATTTTGTTAAATGAAGACATGCACATCCAGATCACAGATTTCGGAACAGCAAAAGTACTATCCCCGGAGAGTAAACAAGGTGTGTGAGTGCCCTGTTTCTAGCACATCCCAGTTCATTGCTTAAGATCAAAAACAGCTTCTTAGAAATGTGTTGAATGGCATTGTATTCATTGTCAGTGACAAGTTAGTCATACCTTTGCTGTTGTAAAGTAGACACTTAAGCTTTCACAGGGGCAGGCCCTGGCTTCCGTGGTGGCTCTGCCTGAAGGCCTGGGCAATTTGCGCCTGGTCTGGAGGGAAGGCTCTTCTGGGCGGTTTGTGGTTGGTCTGCCAGCCCCTCTCTGCATGTTGGTGTCCCAGGTCCCTGTGAGCACTTGGGGGTGTCCGCTACGGCTCAGCCTCCCCAGTCCTAGAAGATGCCAGGGTGCCACATTTGTTCCTGGTCTTCTGTGCGGGAGCGTGGGGTCTATGGAGTCAGCTCCCAGCCCTCCCGTGTTGGCACTGTGGGTTGTAACTGTGAGAGCACTGTCCCTATGTCCCAGGGCCCGCCGTCTGCCCTGTCTCCCCGTCCCCTGTGTGTAGTTGATCAGGCATGCCGATCATAGTGAGGTTCTGTGAAATTACAGAACAAGTGGGGGCTGACGTTTAGCCTGCTGCTCAAGTGCACATCTATAATTACAAACCCTCCTAATCACTGTTCCCCTAGGGTAATTCCTGGTGTTGGTTTGTGCATCATGACCATTCCATCACCTGAGGAGGAGTTGCTGACAGTAAAGTGGGCCAGAAGAGTCCCTTGGGGTGTCCTGGCTAGCCAGCGGGGACCTTGAAATTAATAAGGGACCTTGAAAATGAACCTTGAGTCAGGACACGTGTCCCGAACAGAGCCACCCTGAGCCTGGCCTGCGAGGCTGGGCATTGTGCTCGCCTCTGCCAGGGCTCGTGGGGACTCGTGAGAGAGAAGGACTGGGTTCAGATGGAAGCACCCACCTCGCTACAGCTGCCCTCCTGTGGAGAGGGGCGCTGTGAGCCCCATGAAGCAGTGGGAGAGCCCTCTAGCTTGGCCTGGCAGGCCTTCTCTGCCTCAGGTTGAACTGAGGCCCCCTTAGTGAGCGGTCGCATGCAGGGCGGCTACCGGGCTGATGCCTGGGGTCCCCTCCTCCCGGCAGCGTCTGACTGGGCCTCTGAATTCTCTTCCACAGGATGCCTTGTCTTTGCTTCCCAGGTGCTCTTGCAGCCCCGTGTTTTCACTCTCAGGATTATGGTGAAGATTCTGTTAGTTAGTGCCTTCCTGTTTGTGCAGACACTCATTGAATCACCAAGACTGTGTCTTGGATTTGGGAACTTCTCTGAGAATCCTAGGGCACCACTCTTTGGAGCCAAAACAAAACTTGCAACCAAGGAAGACACTTTTATTTCTCAACAAATTTCAGTCCTGGTGCCACTCGCCCGCCTTTTGCATTTCCCTTTCCTGTCTTCCCACCTTGGGTCCTTTGGGCACTTGTCAGATGCCCTGAAATCTTGATCTGCTTGATTCATTCCTATCGCACAGTAACATCGTTTTTGTGGATACAGTGTAACCCATAGCCATAAGCATTGTCCATGACCCAGGTGAACTGAACAAGAACTGCCATGGCCCCATTCTTGTCATCTCATGTGTGACTTCCCATGGGGCCCCCCAGTCAGCCTCAGGAGCCATCCCCCTCGTGGTCTGCTCTGTCCGTTTTTCCTCCGTGCGCATTCCCTTTAGAATCTTGATACTTGGCACAAGCTAGTCCTGTTAACTTGTAGCCATTTAGAAAATAGAAGAATTTAAATGCATTGGTGAAATAGTGAAATAAACCTGCATTTCTTTCTTTCTAGAAGTAGAAGTCTAAAAGTCCTTACACCGTGAACCAGGGAGAGCTGCTCGTATATGTGGATGAGTTGGCTGTTTTTTTCCTTCGTAGGGAAAGAGGGAAACACATGTATAATTATGTGAGTGATTCACTTTAGTGACTTGGTCTCACTTTCTGTTTGAAGTAGTTCAGAATCTTAGAATTTATTCTTGCATTAGCTTTTAACTTTCTTACAGAGATGGTTTCCCGAAGACCTCTTAAGCTTGCAGAGAGCAAGCGTTGGTGGGAACATGACCCAGGCTCCTTAACTATACTGTGCGCATGAGCTTGTTTTACCCTCGTAGCAAGAGGCAGGTTGTCTTGTCTTCCCAGACCTCTGTCCCAGTGGGTTGTTCTTGTGTCTCTCTCACTGCTTCCTGTGGGGTCAGAGTGGCCGCATGGTTGTGAGGGGCAGGAATAGGAAACAGGTAGGTGTTGAGGAGCGTGTGTGGGATTGATGAGGACTTCCTGGATCAGAGGACTTGTGACTTCTAACCTAACCTAACAAGGGTCCCACAGACCTATCCAGGTGGGGGCAACTTAATCATGCAGAGTAAGCCCCTTGTCTGTGGCTGTGTCACTGGCCTTTGCCTCTTTGTAAGAGGTTTGGGGAGCTCAGGAGGCCACAGAGGTTCAGACTTAGGGTTTGAAACCTGTGTCTAGAAACCTGTGTCTTGAGCTGTGTTGGCCTTTCTGGTGTGCAGCCAGATGTGGAGGTTCCACTCACCAAACAGGAGGGGAGGGCTGGTAGGTATTGGGGGCAGGTGACAGGAGAGGGGATGGGGAGAGGAGGCTGGAGAGCCGAAGTCACTTCTGTCACTCACTCCAGCTGTACCTTCTGTGGATGGCCATCATCCCGACCCTCAGACCAGTGTTGACCCCCCTCTCGCTTTGCTGTGGACTCTGGACCCTGCCCCAGCACCCCTGCCTTCCCCCCAGTGTAGCAGGAGCAGGACAGCTCCACCCACCTCAAAAGCAGAGGTCACATGTTAGAGGAGAAAGTCGAGTTCCTGTACTTAACACCACCAGATAAAACTCTTTACATCAAGAAATGGTTTACTCAGGGCGCCTGGGTAGCTAAGATGGTTAAGCGTCTGCCTTCGGCTCAGGTCATGATCCCAGGGTCCTGGGATCGAGTCCCGCATCGGGCTCCCTGCTCCTTGGGAGCCT